TTGTATATATTTAGCCAACAGTTTATTCTGAGCATAGTCAACATATTATTTCTTTTCTATGGTTATGGATGCCTTTTGGCCGGGAAAGTTGATGCTGGGTTGGGACCAACAAGAAAAGGCAATAGTTAAAGACTGACTCCACTCGCAAGGTTCCGAGGAAACATTGGTCTTCGATATCAACCTGGTTTGAAGCGGACATTAAGCATAGAACAAGACAAAAAGTAACGCTCTGGTATATGGAGGCGTGATCCTGAACGCCTGAAAACACTTTTCAACATGTATATCATCTTCTCTGCATGACGTCAGAATATTTTAGAACAGATGATTATAAATATGTCTGTTTAACGTCCATCAAGTGTTATTTGTATGATGACTGACCTTTATGAATGACGTCACATCAAACGGCGTCGATGGCGTGTGCATTGTTTACATAGGACGTAGGAACGTAAACTGGTCCGGGAACAATGGTGATTTTTACTCATTTTACGCCTTCGCGTACTATTTAAATATACCAATTTGTTTTTGTTTTTTTGTTGGTTTTTTTTCAAAGAAAAACAGAATCTACATAATGGACTTGTGGTCCGATGTCTAGATATGTGGTTAAATAGTAAGTGTAATTATCGCCCTTATTTTGATCATTTGTTTTGGTGGCTAAAATGACAATTTCAAAATCAAATGGTTCACTTCCAAGAAATGGGAGCCGCAGTCAGTGGTGCAGGACACAAGGCCTGCCAATGGACATCGTATAGTCGTTCGGATGGAACATAAAATCAAGATCCCGTGTACACATTGGCGTGTATGTACAACAAGAACTGGATAATTTTGTCAATTTCTCAAGGTAGGACTGCGTATAGATGTCATGTGTTTTAACAAGGAAGGCCGTGTCTAGATGACACGTGTTTTAACAAGGCAGGACTGCGTATAGTTGTCATGTGTTTTAACAAGGTAGGACTCTGTATAAATGTCACGTGTTTTAACAAGGTAGGGTTGTGAATGGATGTCATGTGTTTTAACAAGGAAGGACTGTCTATAGGTGACACGTGTTTTAACAAGGTAGGGTTGTGAATGGATGTCATGTGTTTTAACAAGGAAGGACTGTCTATAGGTGACACGTGTCGTAACAAGGTAGGACTATGTAAAGACTTTTACAGATTTTAACTTAAAAAAGCAATTGTCTATTTATTTAAATGTGTATGAATTATATTTTTCCCTATTGTTATTCAACTTCAGTATATATGTTGTCATATGTATATACACATTCAGAGCCAATAAAAGCAGAAAGCTTTAGAAATTAAACATATAGTAATTCATATTGATTCATGTTATTGCCGCTCATATTGTTAATTATTAGAAATATAAATATCACACCGTGTCATTTCATGTCTAGTAATGAAGTTGGTTCAACGCATTCTCCTTTTATGCATCTTCAATGCATTGCTGGTAACAGGTAGGAGGTCATTTATCTTACTTTTTTCGGCTAAAAATGAAAACATTTTGAAGCTTAGTGTTGTATTAACACCACACTTGACCAGCTATAGTACAATAATCTTTATATATGAATATACATCCTATAATAATGGTTTAATCCAGATGGAAATATGTCATACATTGTGCTATGAGCGAAGTTTTGCCCATCGGTGCAACGGCCTGACCATTTATCGAATTCCAACTGCTAAGGTTTATTCTACGTGCACGCTGATGTCTACAATGGGTCTCAATTGTTCGTCTGATCCCAAGCACTATACGCTATTCATTGCCAGATCCACTGTGCTGCACCACTGACGGACGTTGTGTTTTGATATCTATTTGTATACTACTTTTATAAAAATATCAAATTACCTATTGGCACTGTTATTGTCACATCCTAGATTCACCATTTGTTCCTAACCAACAATTCATATCAATCTTCAGCTAATATATTTTGTACAACTATATTCCAGGGGAAGAAATGTTTCTGTTAACTTATAAAGGTAAACTATATCGGCATAACACGACGAACAATGAGACAAAGCAACTTGCTCAAAAAGGTACGCTTCAATAATGGTTATTGTTCAGTGGCTTGTTCGTTTAATTTGAAAAACAGATAGTGGTCATTGTAAGATTTGTTTTTTTTTCAAATCACACTAAAGAAGCAATTAAAGGATTTAATTTGCTCGAAACTTTTCAGATTGTGTCCGCCCATCTTTAGGAATGTTCATGTATGGACATAATTATGTAGCTGGTTATGTTCAAAATACTTCTTGAACACTGAAATATTCCGATGATCAGCTTACAGAATTGTATTAGTAGTATTATTGTTTGTAAATTGCGGTTATTATAATTTGGTAACGTCTGGACAATTATTGATAATCTAAAAGCAAAGGTCCTGTCTCTTTATATAATTTGAACATTTTAAATACGTTCCCATAGCCAACGTTTTCACGAATCTCACTCGATTCCATTAAACAAATACAATCATATGAAAACTGTGGTTTATGTTAGAGCTCAATCAGACTAAACGCATCCAGTTTCCTTAAATTTACGCCTTCTATATTGACAGTTCCATACAAGGCTATAGCTTGTGATTATGAAAGAAAATGGTTGTACTGCGCATATTTCAATGACCACACAATGATTCGCATGGATCAAGACGGTGGTGATATGACAACAATAACGGAGAAGGATTCAGGTAGTAACAATTAGTTCATTTTATGAATAATGTATATTGCTGAATACATTAAAAATTTGATTGCGTAGTTATCAGTACCTCCATAAGCTTGGGATTGTTTACAAATCCATTATATCAGTATTGTATATACTCATGTATGGCTCGAAATAAAATACTGATTAAACCAAGCAGTATGAATCCACAAGTATCTCCAAATCGTTTCTTTATATTAGTATAACCGTAAAGCTGCACTATTTTGTTTCACGGTATAGATAAAGCCAAGAGTGGAAGTCCCACTATCGTCAGTCGTCACAGTTCTCTCAAAACTGTACGTCTATAAATACAGCCAAGATTTCCCTTTCACACAGTAAGAAAACAAATGATGCAAAACATTGTAAACAAGCAGACTCCTTTTTAACCTTTCCAAGCAATAACGTGAAAGATTATCATATTAGATTTAGACAATTCCTTTGTTTATCTTGAAGTCGGGGTATAACAGGAACACTTATAGCTTTGTTTATGCGCACGGTTTCCTCGTATGAAGGAAACCATTGTGCAAATCGTTTAGTGTGTCGATATGTAATATTAAATATACATTATGCAAGGGATAAATCTACCTATTGTAGGTCATTCTTTGGACCTTAAATGTTATATAAATTATTAATAAAACATTTATTAATGTGCCAAGACCATAATTAACTCCCTAGACTATCTGACGAGTCAGATTTTCTACAGATTTGAATCCTGCCCACGGTTCGATGATGATTAACCGTAAAAATGGATAAGCGAGACTTTGTTTATTATCGTAACAACGGTAACAACAACAATAGAGGCTACTAGGTTATGGGAATGAGGATTTCTCGGCTCAGAGGGGAGTAATGTGACATAATTTTCAGCATATTCTCTTCACATTATCGATTTTTAATTATTACAGCGCGAACCGTCAGCTCTTTATCTAAACTACCATGACGCCCCTCTAATTAGACTGCAATATAAAAGTTTATTATCATAAATTTCTTAGGTATGAAGTTATTTTAATTAGTGATATCTAATACAGATTATATCTAATTGGAGGTAATTAAAATATATATGACCTATTAGGCAGGGGAGAGACCGATAGTGGCAGGCTGGCAGGGTAGCTACTTACATTTACTCAGAGAGCGGGTAAACTACTTAAATTGCCAAAAGAAAGAGGAATATTTTGTGTGTGTGGGTGGGCGGGGATTGTTAAAATTACTTAAATTGGTATTATAGTTGGTTATTGTTGGGTGAGATGGGGAGTGTTAATGAGAAAAGGACGTCTTAAATTTTGATTATTCCACGTTTGTAGCAGACGTCAGTGACGTTATTTTGAAAATTAAAATGGCTCTGTTTTTTTTTTATATCAGATGACCTTGATATCGTTTGTATTAGCGTTGACCAAGAAACAGGGGACGTATACTACGCATCAACTAAAAGACTCGTGTTTCTTTCTTACAAACAGAATTATACAAAAACGTTTATTTCTACACGTCTAAATGGGCCAGATATCGTTTATGTTCGAGTCCATGGCAAAGGCGACAATAAAAGGTAATATTTGGCGATACTTGTAAAATATTACAGTATTTGGTTTAATTACTACACAGCATCTTAAGGTCGAGAAACCAAATGTTCGCAATATCAACCACTGTATAAGCTTAAGATGAAACGAATAGAAAAATATTAAACCTCATACCATTTTATTTATTAGCATTTGAAGGAGACACGGTGGCTCAGTGAGTAAGGCGTTGGCTCGCAAACCTGGAGGTCCCGTGTTCGATGCCGGCATTGGCCGAGATTTTCCGGCGTAGTTTCTTCTTGTTAAGTGATGCAGAACGGAGGGCCTGTTAAGGGACAACTATAGTCATTCGGCGTTCGGATCGAAATGAAATGAAATGAAATGGAGTTTAACACCGGATCTCCAGGCTAGCGAGCCAGCGACTTACCCTCTTAGCCATCGTGGCCCCCTTTCGGATCGAACGAAACACAGAGGCCTATCCACTGGCAGTTGAAATTCATTTAGTATTTGAACGAATCAGTGTATGTCACAAACATTATATCGACCATCTGAAACTATTATCAATATGTATTGAGTATTGAGTAGTTTACCAAGCATTTACAGCACGACATTAAAGGTCACCGGAAAAGGCTTCATAATATCCTTACTGACTGCCTAAATATATTCTTTAGTGCCGTGGGATTGCGTCAGGCAAAAAAAATTTTTTAATACATAACATGCGTCGCGAGCATTCACAAATGTTTACCTGTGTAGAAATAAAATACGCAGTTATCTGCCCTTTGGTAATTCAAACAATCTGATTGGTCAATAGGTTATTGCGTCATATTAGTCCTCTTTAATGTCAACAAATGATCAAACAGACGTCAATATCGGTCTTATAATTTCTTTACGATGGCAGACATTGAGGAACTAGAATTTTTTGTCCAGCCTTACCAGTTCGAACATCCCGCGAGACGTGATCAATTTAACAACAATGATTCAAGCGAGAACGATTCGTCCAGCAGTAGCGATGCCTCTGAAGCGGAAGGTCAACTGCACGATGTAACGTATTGGTTAGTACTAGTACCATTCTACTTTTTTATTATCACTATTATATTAGGCTCTTAGATTCTATATTAATAATTTATCATATTCATTTGAAATACATACACCCAAATAAACATGCTTCGTCGATGTATCGTCCAGACGATAGTCGAACGATTGGCAAACAATTTGAAGGCCTAGGCTATATATATATAGGAGAGCTACCGCCAATACAGTAGGGCCTATCGGTCGTTTTTTTTTTTTTTAAAGATGTTATGCCCAAGGCCAAGGGCCTATTTAATGTAGGATCTGTATGATCCAAATTAGTACCGTTGTCAGAATATAATTTAGCTTTACAAAATGATCTATTGATTACATGTAAATTGTAATCAAGGAACAATTTTAATAGTGCTGATCACGTAGATAACAACATCTAATGATCTATATAATATAGAAAAGCCCAGGGCCTACTACAGTACTAATTACTAAAAATATTTTTTTTTTTTAAACTTTTGTCCAGGTGTAGTTGTGGACATTGCCTACAAATGCAAGTTGCACGTGACAGGAAGTGTTGTAAAGATTGTCTGCAGTGTGTCGAGAAAATGGGGCAACGTAGTTGCATCTGTCAACATGAAGGTTTTCTTGCAAACTGTTTAAATCCCCATGTACTAGAGGTCTCTTTTTATGAGTACATTGAACAGCAAGGGCCAGTTGGTGATGATGAACCTATACATGAGTATGTTTTGGTTGGGTTTTTTTTTTTTTTTTTTTTTTTTTTTAACATATTCATATTCAGTCATTTCAGGTTTTGGCCATTTGGGGTCAATTTCTCCATTTAGACTCTAAATGAGTCAATTTAACTATTGCTATATCTTATTATGCCAGTTTGTCTGCGATATCACCTCGGTGGAAGCGGACGTAAAATACAACTAACCCATCATCATTATGCCAGTAGGATTGCAATACACAAATATTCAGTAAATACACTGCCACACACATGGGAGTACTTTATTACTAGCATAAAAATATCTTTCTTAAACATTTCAATAATTTAACAACATACACAATTGATTATTGAACTGCTCACATACAATGCTTTTAGTTAATGGTACCCAATTTATTTATTTCAGGGTCTATAGATATATAGCCTACAGAAGGTTTACAAGATGGATATGGCATATCCTTGGTAAAAAGAACAGAAAGGTCATTCCATCCTGTGTTGTAAATAAAATTCGTGAAACTTTTCCTTCCAGTTCTGAAACTTACACAGGATTTAAGTATCCTGATGACTATTAAAAATAAGAAAAAAAACTTTCAAAGTATTTTGTTTGATTTTTTATTAAATGGAAGAGTAATGAGTAATGAAAATGTAATTAATTTCATTCCAAAAATCATGTAATGGTTAATTACTTTTCAATTACATTTTATAGCACATATAAATATTTCCAATATAAAAAGCCTCAAATTTAATAGCACTAAAGAAGTAAATTAAGTGTATCGGACACAAATCCAATTCATTATAATTTATAAAATAAAGATTTAAATCAGTTTTAACAAATTATAATAAAACTAAGAAGGCATTATTAGTATTACTTTTTATTTACGACCCTTTTTTTTTAGACATGTCACCTAATAAGTGGATTTCTGAAAAGATGTATATTGTAATCAACGATTAGTGCTAATTTGCAGGCAATCAATCAATCAGTTAGATGAAAAGACAATTTAGTACTACTTGATAATTTATGTGAAATTGTATTAGACGAACATAAGTGCACCAGAGGACATGAGCTATCGTTGATAAATACATAATGTTTTATTTGTATTCTCCATTGCCAGTATATTAGCTATGGTATGAGTTTAATGGTATTAAATTGTTTAGGAAATATTGTGAGAATAACAGGAAAAGGGGTCCAAAGCCAAGGATAGATTCTGTGTCTAAATACACGTGATCGGAATGTTACCATTTCATTTTTGGCATGAGTGACCAATCACATCTTAATTACATCATAATTAGCCAATATAACAATTGATGGCTGTGAATCTGAATAAGAAGCAATTCCTTCTTTAAAAAATGTCACCAAAATATTCAAATCTATGTGTAATAAAAATGGGAACACCTATATTTCATATTTAATTGTGGTATTCAAATTTATGTCAGTGATATTTCTATAAAATTACGTGTTTTCGTAATATGACAGAATGAAAACTTGCCGATCCGTATCGACTTGTAAAAAGACATAGCTTCCTGCAGCGTATGGCGTACGTGACTCACTGCACATAGCTTTATCGTAAGAGAGAGAGAGAAAAATGGGGTTTAACGTCCACTCGACACAAAATAGGTCATTTCGGGACTAACATATGGTTTAATTTTATTTAAATAATTCGCTTGCGCGTAGGGGTCTTTAGCAGTGGGACGAACCCGGCAGATTAAGTAGTTAATCAAGGTAGGTGTAAGACGGTATAACACGTTAAATACGTTGATCACTTAATTACCTAATCAATCCAGCCTATTATCAACGATAATCGGGTTGAGTTGTAGCTGTACACTCAGTAGACTACATGTATATTAATTTTGGAATTTTGAATATTATTCACCATGTCTTGATGTCCGATTGGGCATATTCAAGGTCGGACAAGTTTGGGCGTTTGGAAATAGCGTCGGACAAGTCCGGAATATACAGGCGAAATCCCATCACTGGTCTGGTTGGATGGGGTTTGAGAGAATGAATTATTATAATGCATGTATCCTTTGTATCAGAGCTTAATATAAAACTTTAATCAAGAAACTTGTATTTGTTTTTCCCGTAAGTGATACTAATTAAAATGCAGTATAATCAATCACAACTTGAACCAGTTAAAGAATTACAAATGCGACCAGAGACAATACTATACAATCAAGGGCTGTTCTAAAATATGTAGTAAAGATACATTATGGGAGATATTTATAGAGAGTTGGCCATTCTTGCTATAACAGTTCAAAAGTAGATGATGAAAGAAGAATATATTGAACAAGCCAACAGTGAGGCTGATGTCCCCCGCCGAAATAGGAAAATAATTAGAGGACACATATAAAAATCAAATTGCGTATCGCTCTGCTTACCCTGAGCAGAAAATGCTCATTATCAAACTTAGTCAAGGTATTACTGTAATATAACTATACACCAAGTTTCATCAATCTCACTTAATTAGAACTAAAGTTATCGTGTCCCAAAGCATCAACCAATCAAATTGCTTATCTCTGCTTACCCTAAGCGGAAAATGCTCATCTTCGAACTCCATCAAGGCATTGACCTAATCAACACATACACCAAGTTTGAACATTCTAGCTCAATTAGGACGAGAGTTATCGTGCCCCAAAGTATCAACCAATCAAATTGCTTATCTCTGCTTACCCTAAGCGGAAAATGCTCATCTTCGAACTCCATCAAGGCATTGACCTAATAAACACATACACCAAGTTTGAACATTCTAGCTCAATTAAAAGTTATCGTGTCCCAAAGCATCAACCAATCAAATTGCTTATCTCTGCTTACCCTAAGCGGAAAATGCTCATCTTCGAACTCCATCAAGGCATTGACCTAATCAACACATACACCAAGTTTGAACATTCTAGCCCAATTAGGAAGAGAGTTATCGTGTCCCAAAGCATCAACCAATCAAATTGCTTATCTCTGCTTACCCTAAGCGGAAAATGCTCATCTTTGAACTCCATCAAGGCATTGACCTATTAAACACATACACCAAGTTTGAACATTCTAGCTCAATTAGGAAGAGAGTTATTGTGTCCCAAAAAGTGTGACGGACAGACAGACGGACGGACGGACAGACAGACAGACAGACGGACGAACCCATTTTAATAGTCCCCTGCTTTCTTCGAAAGGCGGGGGACAAAAATTCAGTCAAATTACTTTATTCTGAACATAGTTATCATCGTTGTAATATTTGCCTAGAAATGGTAGCGAAATGTGTATTCACCTTCGCCGAACGTTTGATTGACAGGAGTTAACTCCACCTACATATCTCGATTATCAAGTAAAGTTTTCAATGGCATACGGAAACGCTTTACAGCGGCCTCGCTTAGTACACTCTATCATTTAGCCTCGATCTAACTGACGTATTTTCATCAGGTTACCCCTTAATCAATTAGTGAAATCCTATTTAAATCCGAGCTGTAGACGAGCCATCCGTGGGTCTACAGAGTTGATTTTGGTCTTGTTGGTTAAATAAAGATCTAATTTATAATTTCTATAACATCTGAAGCCTAAATTAAGACTTGCAATAATCAGATTTAGCTCTTGCATAATGCATGTTTAAGTAGTGTTAAATCTTGAATGATGCCGAGTAATGGCAACATTCAATTCAATCCTATTGGCAGACTTTAATGTGGTTGGTGGTGGAGCATCTCGACTGACCAATACCTGAGCAGCTTTGTAAGAGGGAAATGCTTCTCGAAGCTCCATTACTTCTCGCAGAAGATCCTTTACATAACCTAGAACAAAGATGATATGTTTAAGAATCTAATTGTTATATCCCAAAAGTATTTGCCATTTTGGCTTCGATTTGCTACCATTAAGTACTTTGTGAAATGAAATGAAATGGGGTTTAACATCCTACTGTTCTGCTCCTATACTGGGCTAATGAAGACGGGCATACGCCATACAGTGTGCTATGAGGGAAATTTTGCCCGGGCAGTGGCACTATCGCCTACTCTTATATCGAATTCCAACTGCCAAGGGATCTTTTACGTTCATTCCAATGTTTACACGGGACCTCGGTTTTTCGTCTCATCCGAAAGACTAGACAGCTGTCCTTGTCAGGCCCTCCGTCCTGCATCACTGACAAGGGGAAACCACGTCGGAAAATCTGGATGAACTTTCTCGGCCAATACAGGGATCGAACACCCGACCTCCAGGCTAGGGAGCCAGCACCTTACCCACCTAGCCACCGTGGCTCCAAGTACTTCGTAATAGTACTGTATTTCGTAATAGTACTGTATTGTGAATTGTGTCACAGCCTGTGTAGCGTTTTAGTTGGTGTAAATAATAAGAACAGACTGACCACAATTTAGACACTATTTAACCTGGTGTAAAAACAACAGAAAACAAACCACCATGATAATGATCTTATTACTTATAAATTGATCTTCCATCAATATTCACTCCAAATCCACACAACTGTAACCATTATTCAAACTAAATATTATCCAAATCGTAGTTTTCATCCAAGTTTAGAATAAGCTTTATTATTTTGAAGAAACCTGACTCCATACCGTAAGAACATGAATCCAATACAGGCTTCAAAGTGTGGTCTCCATGTTTGGCTTTTGGGTAAGCTATCTTCCATTTGGCAGTACCATCCCTTTTAGTAGCCTGTTGTCTAACACAGTTTTCATTGTTATGCATTGCAGCCAATAACAATCTGTAATTATAGCAATTAGCATCCAAATTGTAATACTAATGATATTGTATCAGAATCAGATAAATAAATATTATTTATGCAGACTTTTATATTGATATGTTGAAAACAGGGCATTGTTGTTTGTACTTTAACTTTCATATGACAAACCTTTCAGAAACCTTTCAGGCTAGACAACACTTACCTTGCATTCATGGCATCATAAAAAAAAGTGTTGGAATTTGGGTGCAAATTGGCAGACAACTTTGTGGTAAGATTCCAATTTGGATGTCTGCTCGGCTGGGGACAACTTTTGAATATCTTTCATAAAACTTTTTTTCAATAAACACTCTTTCAGTAACTTGTGTGCTTTTGATCCTGTTTGTAAAAAAGAAAATACCCCTGCTTTTATAATGTAAACACTATTATGTTAAAGGGACAATAACACTCTTGCTGGCTTGACAGCTCCAGAAAATAAAAAATAGCCTTATTCTAAGTACTAGAAGTGTTAGTGTCCTACCTGTTGTGTAAATTATCCATTAAATCCTATTTTACTTGTCCAGGGGGTTCAAAAATATTTTTAAATCGAAGTTTCATTTGAAAAGGTTTACGTTAGACGTTTCAAACCATTATGTTGAATTTTTCAAAATTTTTAAATAAGGTGTGTTAAGATGAAATTTGTATCATCAATTAACTGAAATATTCTAAAATAGTACAATTTGTTGACCAGAATAAAGATTGGGACATATTATTCAGTTACAACAAGAGTGGTATTGAGCCTTTAACAAAGCTTAGGCCTACTGACAAAAACAATTAATATTCTAAGTTGATCATAATACAAAGGATATAATGATTACCTGCTTGTCATAAATATAATCATTAATTTTAATGGGCAACATGAAAAATATAAAGTATCCCACCTTTCTTGATCCAATGACGGTCTAGGTGTTCATGTTGGCATCTTTGATATAGCTCACCATGTCCATCATGAAGATTGGCCACATGATTTGTTATTGACTTCCATTTTGCCTCTACCAAATCACCATCTCCATCACTGCTAGCAGCTGCCCAATACAAATGATTAGATATGGATTGTGCCCATTCTTCAATCTGTTCACAGCCTTTCTTCTTAGATAATAGTATCAGTTTCTTATAAACACCTGAAATTTTTTTTTATAAATGACTAAGACATAAAATAGTTTGGTGATTTTCATGCCTGAAAATAACAATTTATATATAGACTCAATGTCAGGCCATAATAAAGATTTTGAACTTTATGCAGAACATATTATAGATATTGATAACATTGAAAAAGACAAATTTGTACAAGACAAAATGACAGGAATCACGTAAAGAGATTGTGGAGCCTGATTTAAGGCTTTAATTTGTGTCTAACAATGTCTGTGACAAGGGCCTTATTTTTCAGGCTTGGTCATTTGGAGACTAAAATGCAGTTAATTTTACACTTGGCTGCTCTGCAATGTTACATTTTGGTTTTAAAGTCATTTATTATTATCTACATGTATACACACACTGTGTTTTACAAACGTGACTCATTATTTATTACCTTTAGCAACATGCCACACATCAAACCAATGATTTATATCTGGTTCCATAGTTCTCATGTGCTTTCTCACTGAACAATGTCTGTCTGTAGTTAGGTCTGTTGCTTGAACTCCCTTTCCTTTCAGAGCCTCTAGTCCCCGAATCAGACCCTCTTTCTCCATTGCGTATGAATTATTAACTTCTGTAACCTATTTGTTTTATTATATATAAATATAAACATTGAAAGAAAATGAAATGAAAAGAGAATTTACCGTCCTTTTTACCACTGATAGTTTTTAGTTACTGAAGGTGGTGCTAATAGAATTTTAAAAAATCAGTTTTATAAATAGAGCAGACAACTTTGCTGATTGTAGGTGTCCAAAAGGGTCTGACAACCCTCTGTGTTTTATATAATATTAGTGTAATTGTTCAGTAATTCGCTTGTGCGTAGGGGTCTTAAGCAGTGTAAAGAAACCAGATCGACACGAAGAAAGCCCATGAGGTTCGGCAGCTTACACTATTCCATGTCACGTACAAGCTTGGGATCAAATCCATGTCACTTGACTCAATGGCAGATATTATGATCTAAAGCATGCATGTTAGACCACTAAGCTATCTGTTAATTAATTGTTGGTTTCCTTTACCTGTATCAGTTGCACATCTAAGACAATTCCACTCTCCAAATCCATAAGAGAATAACTACCATATTTAGCTGTGTGGCCTGGTGAACAACACCTAGCATCCCCTCCAAGTTTTACATTTCTCCCTTTAACTTCTCTTACTGCTGCCATTTGCCAAAGTGACCAAACATTCTTAACAGCTGGTACCAGGTAACAAGACTGAATATGTCTGTATGTTCTGTCTGTAAATGAAGACACATTTATTCTGTTCAACACATTAAGAATGTTTGTGACACTAGCACCTGAAAACAGGATACTTGCAGAAAGTAACAAGTTTCCTAATGGTAACTGATTGTTTGATGGCTGACTACTCCACAGAAATGTGTGCCCTGCTTCACATGTTGCCTCCATAACAACCATACTACCCACATTTTGCTTAAGCACAACTACACACTTATTGTGACATTCTCTGCACACCTCTAGAAGCTCTTTTATATTTGATTCAAAAACAATATATTTCCTTTCTTCAACCTTATCTGTGTTTAAAATATCAGTAATATTTCTGAAATAAAAACAAAATAGCAAGTTTTTAAAATGAAATCTTATAAACTCTGGCTTGTAGAGCGATTACAGGGTTTTGACGACGATATTTTGACAGTTTCTTTACTACAATACATTCTTAAATTTTGAGGAAAACGCTTCAAAATTTGGATATATGTACTTATGTACTATATATTTTTTAAAATGAAATTGGGTTAATTTCTGCTCAAACTGGGCTTATGAAGACAGTTAATAAAGCATTCAGTATATCTCTTGAATTAATGACATGTTTTTCATCACTAAATGATTATACATTATGAGCTAAATGAAAAGAATATGTATTGAAAATGCATTACAATACATGGGCACCAAATGCTGGGAAAATTTGGGCACACAATTGTACTTTGTAAAAGTTTTATAAAAAAATATTGTGTTCTTGAATGTGTCCAATTTAACAGCGAATTTATTATTATTATGTAACATACTAAGATCCTAACTAAATTTTTGGGCACCAACCACCACCGCCCCCCCCAGTCAAAAATTTCCCCGTACGCCTATGGATTGAGCATATCATTGCAGTCTGAGTTTGAGATGGAAGTTTCTGTAATATTTTATAATTAACATACATTTCATTAAAAACACTATCACTATCATCACTTTCATCATCAGTCGTATATGGAAACCAATCCTCATCCTGCTTATCATTCAATTCATCATCTGTAGTGTATTCATCCTCACTGGCAGTAGAAGAAGAAACTTGAGAAACAATTTCTTGTACCACAACAGGATTCTGTGGTAACTCGTCTGTTTGGGTTGCAGCATCAGCATACTTAATAAATGAGGAGGATGTCTGACAACCTTGACTGACCACACCTCTTAATGTTTGGGTGGATTTCACATAGGTCTGGAATAATAAATAAATTCAAAATTAAGACTAACAAATTAAAGCATTACATTGTTGAGAAAATTAAATCTGCCCAATTTTCCCCACACAATTTTCTTAATTCAATGCTATAGTATAGTGTCTTGATAAAAATTTCTGTTGACCTATATACCCACAGATAATCAAGTTATGGTGTGTTCCTACACACATGTATGCTGATCATGGATGCTGATCATGGATGCTGATCACGCCTGTTTCAGTTTATCTCAATACAGACTTCCAAAATTTATTACATCCATTTTCTTATTGAAAATTATGGGCAAAAATGTAATAATAATAAAATTTCATAATTTATACCTTTGCAGATCTCTGAAGTACCACATCTGGTGATATTGAAATTGAGCTTGATTGTGGTACCGGTACTTGGTGGTCAATAATATCAGAATTATTATTACTAGTACTAGTTTCTAATAGTGGAATCAGATCATAACTTGCTCCTGTGTCTTGATTGGCTTTCCTTACTTTCCTCCCATCCTCAAAGTCAAAGTTAGAAAATATGTCTTGGAGAACCTGCCAAAAAAAGAAATTAAGCAATATTACAATCTAATAAAAATATTTGTTGAAATTATTCAGAGATTTACACTGCTATAATGTGATATTTTTTTTTCTAATTCTAGTCTTACCTTAAATTTCATAGTAGGCCCTACTAGTAGCCTACCCGAACGAGCAAATATTTAATTTTTAAGCTTCCATCAAGATTACAAAAATATAAAACCGCACTAGGCGACACTGTTGGGTTGGTTTCATATTGGCATTATTTAATTAATATTATATATTACTTTGGAGATCGACTTCACTTTATTGTGGGTAGGCCTAAATACAAATAAAACAATTTTCGAATTTACCTTATTTGACTAGTCACACCCAAGGAGTTCAAAATAGCTTGTTTACGGTATGCATAATTTAAAATCCGAGGCGAGATTCGATTTCGAAAATCTCAATCGATCAATCGACGAGATGGGCCTGGACTCCTGCCATGGGTACTCATTCATAGGCCAATATTTATGATTGCTTGTCAGTGCTATAATTTCACTTTTAATAATAAAAAAACGAACAATAGTTTATACAGTACTAGGCCTATAGGACTAATGAAATGAGTAATTGTTATCATTCTATAAATAGAAATTAAGTCACGCCCACTCTATTTATAGCGAGATGATATTATATAAATATAGGCCTCGTGCGTAAAAAATGTCAACCTACCCTTTGTCTTTCTCTCTTTCTAAAACCACCTCTCGGTGTATCAGGTCCAAGTAACGGCTCTACTCCCAGTGATAATGTCGGGAAACTATCTTTTTTTAGGCGTAAGCCTTTTGCAGTGAAATTAATAGCCTGGAGTAACAACGGGTCTTTCGTGAAACTGTCAGAACTGAAGTGCTTTGAGCAGACGTGAGAATGCTTAGATGGCTCCCAAAGCTTTTTAGAATTAGGCGTATGTGACTGTGAGCGTCTTATCTTAACTATCCATGTGTGGTAGAGATCTTTTTCCTTATCTTTGTCAGGAAATTTGAAAAAACTTTCTCCACACCCAGTTTTACTGTTGCAATTCACAACAACACAGTGAACCATCTCCAATGTAAACAACGGGATACCGGAACCGGTCAAATGAGCAGAAGGACTAAAATGACGTCACGGCTTTTTTATTGGCGGAAAACTACGACGACTCACGGAGAACGGCGGAAATCGCTAACGTTGAAATTTACCTGTGGCAGGTAATGTTGACATTCGGGATCGTGTTATACTTATGGAAATGATATTTTGACATAATTACTTGCATTATTTAAACGATTTATGAAGCCTTTTCCGGTGACCTTTAAGCCTGTCTTTTGTGTGGCTTCAAATGTTATATAAACTATTATTTTGAGATGTATTCACATGGCAAGCCTGTAATCAACTTTCTAAACCATAATATTCACGACAAGCCTGTAATCAACTTTTTAAACCATAATTTACATGGAGTAGAACATCCACGAGATGTAAACAACCATAAAAGGAATAATTGATACTGTCCTTGTATTCACCACCTTGAATAGCACAAAAACGCGTTTGCGGCCGTTAAATTTTTCAAGTTATCTTGGGGTGTCTCTCGAAGAAGACTTGCCCGGTTGACCCGCACCCCAACCCTCCCCTAACACCCATCCATTCGGTACGCCTGTGACCATAACGTAGCTCAAAATAGAGTAATTTAAATTAAATTTTTAAAGTATTCAATTTACATAATTTATTTTTGAACTGTCACAGCAAGAACGACAGGCTCTTTATTTCAATCCATATAACCTATTTTAATTCTACAATGGGTGTTTTTTACGTTTTCATGGCTCTAAATGGTTTCTAAATAGCAGGCGGTGAGATAATCGCTTAAGTTCTTCCACAGACCCTTTTGAGAGCGTGCTTTGCCAGCACCATATGGACTGAATCAAACTAATAAAACAAGTAGTAATCTACTCACCTACGTCATAGTTGACTGTGAAGTCATCACCAAAGGCACAAAGTCCATAAATAACCTGCCTATCCCAAGGCCGGAAGTAGGTCTTCAATATGGGTACATAAGAAAAAAACCCTGTTGAATGGTGTAAACGGGAGAAATTGCCGTCTAAGAAAACCCATAACCTGTTGACCAACCTAGAGTACCCCACAATTTTTGTAAGTGGTCTAGCGTGACCTATAACCTGCTACAGTGCCTCAAAAGTCTTCTGTGCATGGGACCAAACGTGACCCATCTAGAGTGTCGACTATTTCCATGCGAGGCCTAGAGTAGGCTATAATATTTATACGTGGCATAGCATGACTCATGACCCACCTAACAATTTTTATGTATTTTTCGGTATTTAGGTTTTTCTGATTAATTAGTTAATTTTCTGTTAATTAGTAGCAAAAAAGGTGTTTTTCTAATGTTTTCGGTATATAGTACCGCCCTCTAAAATTAGGTAGATGGTTTGTCGTGTGTGTATTGTGGTCTTCCCGCACCTACTAATAGAATGTATTTTAATTCCATTATTACAGAGTATACTGGTCTACAATATATAGTCTTTATACTTCACAGAAATACAACTTCCAACTTACTAATTTGCAATTAATCTGTCCGTTGTTTAGTATTTTAGGTAAGTTTATATTAATTCGAGCGCTGGAGTAATAATAATAATAAGATTAAAATATAGCACGAGGATATGAAATAAAAGTTACTTAAAAGGTTCGTCATTCTTTTCGTGATTCATACAAGAGCGTCCTTATCGAAACGTCATCAGAAATCAATCTTTCAAGTAACTTGTAGTCTATATAATCATGTATTGTGTTAATTTAACTAGGACTTAAAATATCTGCATCACCTATCATGGCCTTTCGATAATAAGATCTGTCATTGAGTTTACTGGCGTGTTTTCGATTTCCCGCTTGTGCGTGACAAGGATTTGGGTCCCCTTTACAACATCGTGGGTTTTTCTCAGGGCCCTCTGGTTTCCTCTCATTGCTAAAGATATAGTAATATGAATGGCGAGATTTGTGCAAAAGAACACATATGTATTATAATAGTGTGACCTTGATATTATTCTCCATTGTCAAAATATTAGATATGGTATGAGTTTATTTAAAACACAAATTAAATTGTTTATGAAATATTGTGTGAATAACAGGAAAGGGGGTCGAAGTCCAAGGACAAAGTCTATGTCTAAAAGCACGTGATCAGAATGTTACTATTCCAATTTTGGCATGCGTTACCAATCACATGATTAGCCAATAGAATAATTAATAGCTGTGAATTTGAGAGTATATAATTTATCGAATGTGCGCTTTGGGATAGACACCATGAAGATTTGAGAGAGGAAACACAATGTAGAAATTCGTTACGAGAGACCGTCGTCATTAATGTTTAATATTAGGATGACATTTAAAGATACGTCCTAACCAGTTAAAGAATTACAAATGCAAGCATAGACGACCAAGGGCTGTTTTAAAATTTGTTGAAAGAAAGGAAATGAAATGAAATGAAATGGGGTTTAACGTCCTACTGTTCTGCTCCTAACCTGGGCTAATGAAGACGGGCATACGCCATACAGTGTGCTATGAGGGAAATTTTGCCCGGGCAGCGGCACTATCGCCTACTCTTATATCGAATTCCAACTGCCAAGGGATCTTTTACGTGCATTCCAATGTATACACGGGACCTCGGTTTTTCGTCTCATCCGAAGGACTAGACAGCTGTCCTTGTCAGGCCCTCCGTCCTGCATCACTGACAATGGGGAACCACGCCGGAAAATCTAGATGAACTATCTCGGCCAATGCAGGGATCGAACACCCGACCTCCTGGCTAGCGAACCAGCGCCTTACCCACTTAGCCACGTGGTCCCTGAAAGAAAGAAGTGCATGACAGACGACCCATGGTACTACAAAGAACCCTACGCGATCGCGAATTATTGAAATACATTTCAACCATATGTTAGTCTCGAAATGAACTGGTTTCTGACAGACGACCCATGGTGCTACAAAAAAAACCACGCGCTCGCGAATTGTTGAAATACAAGTGAACCATATGTTTGTCCCGAAATGCACTGGTTTCTGTCGAGTGGAAGTTAATCCCTACTTGTTTCATACCAATTTCATATCCAAATCGTTTATGTTGAAATCGAATTAAGATATGGCGTTTAGCAGCTTGGTTAAAGAAGACGGGCATACACTATGCATTGTGCTTCAACGAATGTTTTGCCCTGACACCAGCATACTATGTATGCATTTTTCGAATTACAGTCACTAGTTCTATGGAAACCATGCTGGAAATTCCTGAGAAACTTTCTTGATCAATGCAACAACATGTTCAGCATCATTAAAGAAAATATTTGACATTGTCATGGTTAGAAAAAGATCATAGTATTGCGTATGTCCGTCTTTATTAGCCCAATTCGTAAAGAATTATGAGACACTTAAATCACTTATTGGGGTAACCCAGAAAGATGCGCTATATATAACTGCCTACTCATAGTTTAGTATATATATCCAGAAATGAGAGAGGTAAATTGGGATTAAGGTCGACCATTGAACTACCCTATCCAGATATGAACGCGGTCTGTACATTATATTGTCGGCCGTTATGAAAATAAGGCGGACCGTTTTTTCTCATTCGAAAATCGTCGCTATTCGATTCATTCCCACGTTTGTGACCCATTCTGATAATATAATTTGAAATAACAGTATCTGATTAGGGATGCTTGTATATTATACATGTCGTATGATGCCACAGTAAACGAAATTCGGCGATCAAAATATTAGATTCTCTTCGAAAAGAATTGTACGCCATTTTTTCCCAAACAAAATGTGACCTACACAGTGTATTTGTTTTTATTCGATTTTAACTCCACAGATAATGGTATCGTCTGTAGTAACGGCTTTGGGAAAGGTTTCTATTTAGCAAACCTGAATGGCGTGATGACCGAATCGCTACCGAATGTGAGTATCCAATCTTCGAAACTGACAGAAATTGATTGTTATCCAAGCGAAGTTACAACCCTCGATGGAAAATTGTATTTAGTCTGTCACGAGCCGAATAGGTTAGTAATTTATAAATTTTAAGGGTTATATTTATCAAGAATTTAGGTCCAATAGACAACAACACAAAACGTATCCATCTTGTATACAAAGGCCTTTACGGCACACATTTTTACGGCAAACTGGAAAAGTCTATTTATGGTCACACTCCTCAGCAGTGTTTCGTTTGGTTAGATTTAAACCCACTCAAACACTACAATATTCAGTGCAAATTTTTGTCCCAAATTATAACTGGTTAACAGTCCGATCAACAACCAGTAGATAACGACGTAACAAAACCAATCGGCATTAACCAGAGCTCTAAATAGGTTACGGTAAAGTGTCTGGTGACAAACGCTGATACATTACATCAGAACGTGTGAAATGTATTAGGCTCTAACTAGTACATAATAGAATATTGCAGAGAAACTAATTGCGGGATAAACGAGGCTATCCAAATTAGATACAATGTAAATATTTGGTAATCGCCGCACACGTGGAATCTTTTTATTATCTCTTGGACCGCACAGCAGATCAAAGAGAAAAGTTGTCATGTTACGTACGTTCATGGATTTTCTTCAAAGAAATGGATAAATATTATCGAATATTTAAAGGTAGACAAGTAGTACACATGTATAGAATTTATATCCGTGATTTGAATCAAAAAATATTCGTTCCAATAGCGAGTTTCAGCGACGGCCAAATTTACCTTCCCGGTACATCCAAGGGTGAATTGTTCTTGAAATCAGCACTAACAAACACTAGGAATTTGTTTTGAAGAAATCAACCTAGTTAAGTCGTGAAAACTCCCTATATTTTACTCAAGTGAGATTTGATTGGGCGATAAGAATGGGTACGCTTCGTTAAAGACTCGAGTTTATGTCGTTCTTTTTTAATACTGGCCCATTATTTTACAGAAATTGACTACATGTTGATAGTATGAATTAATATTTGTTAGTGAAATGTTGGATCACTGGAATAGTGAGATATTGACATATTTTTTGTTGTACATTGTTTGTGGGTTTTCCAGGAATTAACTAAGAATTGTATTTATTTATGTATTATGTTAGTTTTTCACTATAATGAGGTTGCATGTTGTAGCATTTTTTAATATTGAGTGAGTGTTGGGTAAGTGTTATGGAAGACCAAACAGCTCTTTATTCAGTGTTCTTAATGCTTAGTTCTTAATGTGACACTATCATGTGTCGCGGCACCAAACAAAAATGTCGATGTGACACTTCGGGGACAGATGTTACTATCTAATCAGGAACCTTTACGTTGTGTAT